ATGCAACAAATGCTTAATACCACGTGTCTCCAGCAGGATGCAGCTCCTGACAACTGCTGATACTACTGATCTGAGTTATTGGTTGAACTGGAGGTTTTTGCTCTGTGCGTTATGGGTCTTGACACCAACGGTTATAGCTGTGATCATTCTATGGAAGTATGAACGATCAGTTAATGTAATTCCAGAATCTGATAGAAGGGAGGATTGTCAAAAACGGTCATGGATTTTGTATTTTGACAAAGCTTGGAAACCATGTGTGAAAATAATAAACCCAATTTATTTGGCGGTTTTCCGAGTTTTTTCACTTGCTTTACTCACACTGGTGATTGTCTCTGATTTTATTGTTCATGGAGGTGACATATTTTACTATTATACTCAGTAAGTATTCCAGATAATGCTTGTAAGTAGGTAGCACTATATAGGTTCAATTTTCAGGACTGTATATGATTGTGTTCTTTTTTATATATAAAAGTAAGGTTGAAAGTGTGTGTTTTTGTTTGAAGGTATTCTATTATGACTTGCAATTTTTGTATCTTATATGCACAGAATATATAAGCTTTATTGCTTTAACTAGGGAAAGAAATAGACTGTGCTATAAAATGGAGTGCCTCTCACGATGTTTTGATTTCTGCAGGTGGACATTTGCTTTGACTGCCATCTATTTCTGGGTATGTATGTTAGTTATGGTTTACTTTATTGAATTTTTATCATTTACTTACAATATTAGTACGATCGCCATCTATTTCTGGGTATGTATGTTAGTTAAGGTTTACTTTCTTGAATTTATATCATTTACATACTGTATTAGTACATACTTGATGTTTTTAACCTCTTAAATATATGTGCATGTAATTGCATGCTACAAAAATATCCTTCACTTTGGCTAGCATGATGCTGCTAATGAAATATATTCTCCCTAACATCATGCTTCTGTAACTATCTGTAGATTGGTTCAGGACTTTCCATCTATGGTTGTTACCTGTATAACAAAACAAACAGCGATGTCAGCAAAATGCAGATGGATGTGGAGCAAGGATTACTCGAGTCCCTTACAAGCACAGACTATATGAATGGCGTCAAGTTAGCGAACAATGTGGGTTACAAGAGAATGCTTCTTGTTCCTGAAATTGCTGGACGATGTGGCTACCTCTTCCAGATTCTTTTCCAGGTACGACATCCTTGTTAAAGGACCCAAACAAGGTTTCTGTTTTCTAATAGGTAGAACATAGAAACTGCTGTAGTTTTATTCTACCTACTTATGTGTGTTCTTTTGTAATTTTGAGAACATCCTCCCACTGGTTAATGCTTGTGAAATATTATCACCCACCTCTAGTCATTAAGACATTAACATATATAGTTTTCCTAACGAGAATCTCTTGCACTTAGTGTTACAAAGTACTTTTTTGTTAGAAGTTAAGTTTCTGGAAGTTTCATGTAGATTGTGTAGTTCTAAACATTTCTTTGCCGTTTTTTCCTGCAGATGGCTGCTGGAGCAGTGATGCTCACTGACTCTGTTTACTGGTTTGTGATCTTCCCATTTCTTACACTCAAAAACTACGATTTTAACAGTGTAAGTATCTAATATTCCAAAAGATCTCTCTGGTTACGCTCTTTATTTCTCTTGGGTGCTTGACATCAGCTGCTACGATTCTAAAACTTGATTTGAGATATTTGGCTTTATTTTAGACACATAGCCATGAGTTTGCCGTAACAGCCTCCTATAGGTCAAACTTTTGTTTAAAGAAGCACTTGTACGGTTTTTCCTTTCACGGACCACCTTTTTCTTTCTAATATGGCCACTTATACCAGTGCATCCAGTTATTCAGGTGTTGGCTTTCTGGTCATGAATGTTTTAGAAACTTGTTTGGATGACTGAATAGGTCTTTACGATATAGTCCTTCCTAAATTTCCAAGAGAAAAGATGAAGCAATTCAATATGCAAACTGCCCCTTTCTCTCTAGCCCTCTTCTTTTTTATGTTGTCATTGTTCTTGTTAGTTGGGTCAGGGATACACCTTGGTTTCTTATCCAGTCTTCTCTGGTCTACTATTTCTAGAGCACACAGAGCTAAATGGTTATCTTTCCTCTGATTTTTTCTGTCCTGTCAGAAAGAAAATAATGATTTGGTTATTCATCATGTACATTATTTTCCATTATTTTCTGGGATTGTCTTCACGGAGCTTGTTGATAAATATATTATTCAGGCATACAAGGATACCTGACTGCCTTTAAATCTACTTGATCAAAATCCTCTATGCCATTGGTGTCATTCGGATCCCTTTCACCAGATTTTAAACACATTTCTTCCGTCTAGTATAATTGGTGGAATTAAGCTTAAGGACGTTGTATCTTCAAACCTCGTTGAGTTATAAGTGATGTGCTCCTTCTTCTTCATCTTCCCCAATATTGACACTGGTACCTTAGGTCTACTCTTTGAAAAGAGGCTGAAACTAAGTTAATTACTTGCATATTATATCAATTATGATAGTTTCAACATATTGGTAGTAATTGTCAAAAAATTATTTTGATAGGAAAACCATTACTTCTTGGTTTGAATTTGAGCTATTTTCAATTTACATCCTTGAAAATCATTGAAGTTGCATTAACAAATCCAGAGTATGTCAAATATTTGGTTTCTTCCCAAATATGAAATAAGTAGTGAGTACAAAAAAATCATTCTAATTCTGTTAGTCTATCTTGAATCTTTTGCTCCTTTATGAAGTTAAACAATATTTCTTTCTCATTCCAGTTCACTGTTGTTACGCATTCGCTAAACGCTATCCTGCTCCTTGGTGATGCAGCTCTAAATTCCTTGGTAAATGCTAGCGTTATTTTAGTTCTCCAGGTTCTTATTGAGAATATCATTAAGGATATTGTTTATTAAACTATCAAGTTGTTCTTCTAGTGGTTCCCGTGGTTCCGGATGTGTTACTTTGTCATATGGACTGGTGTTTATGTCATCTTTCAATGGATTGTTCATGCCTGTGAATCAATTTGGTAAAAATTCATTTCTATTTGTTTATGATTTAATGAATACATCTCATTCCTCTTAACTGTGGGTTTCCCTTCATTTTTGATTATTTCAGGTGGCCATACCCCTTTCTTGACTTATCATTAAAATATGCTCCTGTGTGGTATGTGTTCTTTTAGTATATATTATTTACCATGGTACACGTATGTGATCAAATTGCATTGTTACATTTGGTTTCTTAGGCTTTATAATAGCCACGTTCAAGGCTTCTCATTTCAAAATATCGTATTGAACACTTGTCACTTCCTTCGAAAATTCAAGTGCCAAACTTTATCATTTCAAACAGTATAACTTATTTATGGGCTAACTAATTTTTGTGTTGATTCTGGCCAGGTATTTATTGGTGGCTGTTTTGCATATTCCATGCTACGGGATATTTGCATTACTTGTTAGACTTAAACATTATGTGTTGTGGCGATGGTTCCCTCAATCATAACAATGTCTAAGAAATTATCATCACAACTTGGTTACTTTGGAAGCCCAGGTGTGTCAGGTTCCACAAATGGTGTTATTTGGGAGTGATGGGCGGATTTTGCTGCAGAACGTCAGCTAAGTGGGTATTGATTCAGTCAGGTATTAAATCAGTAGTTATCTTGTGAAGTAGGAAGGAAATATTCGTTTATCTGCAGCTTCTCCACCCTCATGCCTTGGATGATGAGCTCTTCCGAACACCAAAGTTCAACTGATTTCGAAATTGTATACCTTTCTGTCAACAGGCAAAAATTTACTAAACTCATTGTCTAAGAATTATTAAAGGATTTGTATACAAAGGATGAAGCTTCATTTTTTGCTTTTCAAATAGTTGCCTACATTACCTATTCTCGGGCCACCTGCACCTAGTTAGATGATCTAAGAGCCATTCTAACTGTTTTTTTCTATGACCTCTTAAAAGTTGTCTGCATATTTTACTTAGACATCATATTTTTATCAAAAGTGTTTTGATTGTCGTGACTGTGTAGTGTGGGTGTTAAAATTGATATATATATATATATATATATATATATATATAAAATAACATTTTATTTCTATTCAATTGTATACAAATTAAAATTTTATACAAATGCACAAACACATAAATTGGATTGACAGGTTGTCAAAAATTTATACAAACGAGAGGATGACAATAATTTTATACAAATGGTCTGCCAGCGAAATTATACAAATCTAAAGAGGAGCTAACAAATTATACAACTAAATATGATTTTTGTATTTGCTATGTGAAAATTGCTCATTTTTTTCTTGAATTTTGCATAAAGACACGATATTATATTTATGGAAAAATTATGCGAATAAGCAAACTTATACTATTTAATTACTCATCATGGTTATAATTTGTTATAATTACCCTCGCGAATAACATTATACATTAATTCCATGGGTTGACTTCGAGTTTATATAATTAGTCATGTTTGTATATGTATAATTAGTCACCTTTCTCCCACTCTCTTACCTCTCTCACTCGCCTCTTTCGATCTCGCTCGCCTATATCCTCTCTCTTCCAGTCTCGCTAGCCTCTCTCCTCCCTCTCCCAATCTCTCTTGCCATATATACAATTACATATGTATAATATATAATTATCTAACCAATATATATACACAATTCACCTTTTTCCTACTCTCTCGCCTCTCTCCTCTCTCTCCCAATCTCGCTCGCCTCTTTCCTCCAAATAACATGTACCTATAAATTATAATTATCAAACTAAAAGCTATATAGAGTAATTAATTACTTGTAAGCTATATTAATTGAGATGGAGGGAAAAGTTTTCTTACGTTTGTGTGGAAACGAGTTGACGAAGCCAATGCCGGGTCCATCCATTAACTAGAGTCGTTGTTAATGGGCCGGTCATAATCTAATAAAATCCTGTGGGCCCATTTATTTTTGGGTAATATCGTCTTTTTCCCTTCTTTCTTATGCGGTAAGACATTACGTATCATCTCTATAAATAGAGCTTCTTCGTTTTTTTGTTAACCAAAAAATTATAATTAGGAGTTTTTGTTGTATAATCTAGGGTTTGAAAAGCAAATCGATTGAAGATGTCACTTGCCAAGGCTAAGGAAATTGTTTCTGGAAATCCAGTTGCGGTCTTCAGGTAATTGCATCTCTGTTAAATTTGATGTTGTTAGTTTTTTTTTTTGTTTGTTTGATCTGAAATGATTGTTAATTGAATTTGCAGCAAGACGTATTGTCCCTTCTGTGTTAGCGTCAAGGATTTGTTGTCGAAGCTTGGTGCTACTTTTAAGGCTGTTGAGTTAGATTCTGAAAGTAAGATCTCTGTTTCTGATTAGTAATTAAAGTTGTTTTGATGGTTAATTAAGCCAATTCAGTTTTATTTTGTTTGTTTTGATTAAATTGAGATAAACAAGATCTATTTGCTTTCGTTCTAACATGATTATTATTATTTTTTTGTAAATTGAACTTTGTGTTGGCCAAGAGATTGCAGTTTCAATTATATTTTTGTGTTTGTTTTGATAGATAATAGCAGTCATGAAGCTCCAGTTTGAGCTGTAATTTTACAATAAGATGAGGGATTTTATGTTTTAATTACGTGAGAAGAAGTAATATCTTAATGTTTGGAGCAAATTTGGTGCGTATTCTATAGTTATGCAAATTTATCAGTGATTTGTTTTACATTTGGCTAGTTAAGCAAGGCGATTGGGGAAATCGATTAAGTTTGTAGCAGAAATGCAATGGAAACAACTCACTCCTTCGGTTATCATTTTTGATGTATTTCCTCTGATTGATAATGTTTCTCAACATATATTTGTTTCCTGTTCATAGTTTTCTAAGCACTTGTATTCTTCAGTGTATAGTGAATTTATTGTCTAAAATGTTGAGTGAATTGGTGAAGTATTCTTTGTGCTATTTCTCGTTCATTGAGTCTAAAATTGATTTTATGTAGAGGATGGAAGTGAGATCCAGGCTGCACTGGCTGAGTGGACTGGTCAGCGAACTGTGCCAAACGTCTTCATAGGCGGAAAGCACATTGGTGGCTGTGACGGTATGTCATCTGTGGACATCCCTCTTCCCTCTTTTTAATTCTATTGTTGAAATTCCTTGTCATAAGAAGACGTACTTCAGAATAATTGATCTTTTCGAATATATGATTGCAGCGACAACTGCGTTGCACAGGGAAGGGAAGCTTCTTCCTCTGCTAACCGAGGCTGGAGCAATTGCTAAAACTTCTACAGCTTAGGGAACTATATAGAAGGTTCAATCTACTTGTTTCTCTGAAATAAAGTGATCTATGTTTTTTGTAGTTAAGTGTTGTCAATGCTATTTGATGTTTCAAAGAAGAAAGTTGAACGAGTAATAATGCATTTTGAAAATTTCGCGATTAGCCCTTGAATGCCTCCTCTTATACTGATTTGAGTTGTTAATTTCTTATTAAAAATTTGATTTACCTAATTCCCTTTTAAAATAATTAAGTACGCAAGCAAAATAGGTGATAGTACGCCACTGTCATATGCGCATATCAATTGTTATGAACAAAAATAAAAAAAGAGCATGAATAAAGTAACAATTGTTATTCACAGTATTTGATTTAATTTTTCAATTTTTAGATGTTTATGTCCATCCCTAATGATAATGCCAGTAGCAGTGTCATTGTCTATATGAAAATATATAAGATGAGAAGTTCAAATTGCACGACTTCCAATAGATAAAATGGCATCCAGTGTCCCATCTTCATATTTCCCAGTGGCTTAAAGCTGTTTCCATTGAAACTGAGGGCATAGAAGAATCTCATACATCCTCTATTTTGGTTCTGGGTATTTTCTGTCTTTGAAGTTGTTTATAAGAACAAATATTTAGAGGCGTATTTAGAATTTGAACGAATATGAAGAGACATAGTATATGTTCCTTTTTCGAAAATGGTTAACTTGTATTGTACAAGGCATCTCGGAATGGCTGAATTTCATCAACCGGGACTAATTAGCAGGCTTCTCATATGTGTTTGCGACACAGTTCAATTTAATAGAGGAGATCAATTTGTCTCCTTTATGAGATACCCCACACATAGATAACAACAAGTTTCAACTAGAAGTTACATGTCCACAACTAAACTTCTTGATACCACATCATTTAATGCTACAAATGTGTTCAAAATACGAGAGGTCACAATCTTCATTAAGGAAACATTGCATAAAAAAGAAAGTCAAACAGTATATGAACTTGGTGCAAGTATAATGTTTTCTAAGTAAATTGGAAGTGCAGTGAACCATCTCTATATATAAAGCCTCAAAACATGAACAAACTGTAGGAACTCATGAATTTTCTTGAACTGGTGGTGGTTGCTGAAAGATTGAGTTGGCGAGCTCTTTGTTTAGCCGTATAGGGAGTGGAGGCATCAGATTCATCTCTGAAATGTCATTTAAGCTGCAAGAGAGCATGTTATAAAGTGGAAAGCGCAAATAAAGATGTATACGGCTCGTGAACATGATATGTAAGAAGGAAAAGAGCAAGTGAAATTAAACGAGACCCCTGTGAAGAAGCAGATGGACCATATAGTGACTCGTGGGAAGATGAAGTTGAAACTCAGCAAATATTGTTGGATCACGGAAAGTTTAAACGGACTGTGAAAACCTTCACGAGCCGTTTACCTATCCGTGCATGTTGTCGACTGAACTACTTTCCTATTTCGATTAGTATTCATATTGAATACTGTAATTAATTACTTAGGGTTTCATATAATTTTATCAGTTTTTTTTATCGCAAAGACAATAGCTTTCTATTTTGGTTAGTTTGATCTTGGGATTCGAGTTCTTAATCAAGAATTATTGGTTTTCATTATTATAAGTCTATTAATTCTGAACTTTGATCAATGTTTAACAATTGTTTGGTTAAGAACATGAACATCTAAACACCACAAGTAGGGTTAATTATGGGAACTATGGACTAGGGAACAACGTTAAATCAACCACGAATGACTATCAATTAGTGTTTTGCATGCTTAGTTTCTAATTTTGCTTTAGGACCTATGTTTATTGATTAAGAAAGTAAGAAACTAATGAACTCTACAATTGAATAACTTGAGCTGGAGAGGGAATAGTAGGTAAGAAAGGGTTAAAACTTAAACACTCTAAGACTGAAAGGAGATGGGTGATATTGGTCTTGCTAAATCATGCATGCATGCATTGTATCAAGAGACTGTTATTCATATGAGATCTAAGTTGTGATCCTAAGGTCATGGAGAACACAATCCTAGTCTATATTAAACCAATAATCAAACTTTGAAATCGTCGTCCATTACTGTTACTATTTGATTCTAAATACAATTGGTTACTTGGACACTAAACAACCCCAATATTTACTTTACACAACTTTATTTCTAGACTAGAAATTTCAACCACAACTGAAGATAAGAACTAGTAGATTCATTTTCTTCTCCGTTTCCAGTGGGATTAACCCCAACTCTTGTTGGGTTCTATTAAAGTGTAAGTTTGAACGTACCAGAGATGATAAAAGAGAATGACAAGATGCAAAATAAACCGATACTTTAGTAAAGATACGAAAACATATATATAGCTCGAGATAGAGGATAATCAATCATACTTATTCATAACATTGAAGATATTACTTTGAGTTTGCCAGAGAAGGTTGATGTTTTCCTGGATCTGCATCAGTCACAAAAAAAATAATGTTTTAATAATAAAAATCATACATTCTTCTTATGGAATAAACTTATTACAAGTGTAAATGATAGACAATGTTAGTATTAATGTTTGTCATATATCACAGACCTACTGTAAAATATCAAAATCATCAACTGACCTGACAAGCGGCAAAGTTAGCACAAATTTGATCCAATGCCTGAGCATTTTGTTCAAGAAGCATCCCAGTGGGACCACCAATGGCTGCAAAAAAATTCGAAAAAAATAATGATGAAACATTGTATGTATATTATAGTTATGATAACAGCTTTAATGATTTGATTTTGATCATCAAGACGAGATTCATACTTTTATCATCGTTATTCATTTCATCTTCCTGAAAATGTATAAAAAATAAAGGCAAGACGACCAACCTTGGTAGAAAATTTCACCATTACTATCCATTGGTAAAATAGCTTGAGCATTGGGAGGAGCATTTGCGTAATTAGTTAATTTTGGCATAAGATCTGTAAGCTTTTCCTAAAACTCAAAAAAAAATAAAAAAAATAATGAAGACGAACTTATTCTTCAAAATCCAATAAATCTACTTGTTTTTTCCTCTTTTTTGTTCCCTCATACTTAATGATGCCAAATATATATGATCAATGAATTATCCATAATGAGATCAACATGGACCATGACTACTTATGGATGTTTTGAAGCAAAGAACATTTTGCGAAACGAAATATATACAGAGAAAGGGCGGAGAACCTTGTTTGAAATATGATCACTTCCTTGCTTCCTATTTTTCTGCTTAAATGCAGGAAAAAAGAAGAAAAAGGAACATTTAATTATGCCTAGTTGGGAAAAAAACTGATTTATCTCAATTAAGAAGGCATTCTGAAACCAAATTATTGTTTGTATAAGACTTACACTCATCCATCTACATCTCAATATTACATCTCGTAAACATTTGTCTTTTAAGTGCATCGCAATTTTAGCATAACGATGCATTTCATTGTCAGTTGAGTATCTGCAAAAAAATAGTATTTCACTATCAGTTTAGGCATAATATTCGTCAAACTAAACAAAACAAATCGAATGTACAAAAGTAATAGAGATGGTTTGGAAACAGTATTATTTGACAATCCACAAGCGAAAAATGTCTAATAGCGATTAGTCATGTATACCAATAGCTAACAACCTTTTCATTTCCATCCACACCCTCTAGGGTGACTCAAACCCTAAATCTACTGGTTCGATGGTGAATATTCTCAACGTCTAATAAGTCATAAAATTCTACGTGTTTCATCATATGACATCAAATGTTAAAATCACCTTATGAGCAAATTCATATGAGAAAACTATAGTTCTTAGCAAACATAGGATGAGTGACATACTTGACAAGCAATTCGTCAAGAGCAGATTGTTCTTCAGGAGTCCAGTGATTGTTGAGGTATGCATTGTGCTTGAGCGCCGCCATCAAAATACCGCGAAAATGAATCTTCTAGACTCTCCTTCTTGTGTTTGTTAAAAGAATCTGAAAAAACAATGAAACATATACATAGATTTGAAGAATTTTTAGTTCTAAATTTGCAGACAAAAATATTGAATGAATCTTTGACCAGATAAGTACTTATTTAAGACATGATTTGACTTCTCTGATGACATGTTTGACATTTTTTTTTGTTTGTTCCTATATAGTAAAATATATTTTCTTTATTATTTTATTGGCACCCAATAAAATTTTAAAGCACATGAAAAAATTAAAAGCAAAACAATGACTTTAATTGGTAAGCCTTAAAACCAATTTGACTGTCCACTCTATTCATATGCTATTTATATGTTAGTTTACCGGTATCCGTTATAAACATATTTGTATTATAATGAATGTCTAATTATGTGGAGTCCTTTTAGAATATGGTCTAGAATTCTACTTGGAGACAAAAGTTAGGTTTCTCATATAAATAAAGGGGTTTTCCTTCGTTGTAAAGATGATCCATGAATCCCGAATATACTTCAAGATGAACATGAAGTATTTTCTCTTCTCTCTACTTTATTCTTCTCATTGTTTATATAGTTTCATAACAACATCCAATTAATTTATGAATTGGTTTGCTATAGCACACGAAAATCGTCAAAATTGAGAGTATCCACGCTTTGGTGCTCGTTTGACCTTGATAATGGGTCGGACTGGCCGTGAGGGACAACCGGCTATATAGAACAGGTCTTGACGGATGTCCGCAAAAAAAATCGGAATTTTTGACGTCGAAATCCGAATCACCCAAAAAATGGTTTGCTATAGCACACGAAAATCTTCGAAATGGGGGATATGCACTTCGGGGCTCATCTAACCTTGAAAAACGGTTGGACTGGCCGTCAAGGACAACCGGATGCATAGCCAAGGTCTTGACGGATGTCCACAAACAATTTTGGAATTTTTGATGTCAGAATCCGGATCACCCAATTAATGGTTAGCTATAGCACACGAAAATTGTTGAAATGGGGGGTATGCATGCTTCAGGGCTCGTTTGATCATGAAAATGGTTTGAACTGGCCGTGACGGCCAACCGGCTGCATAGCCAAGGTCTTAACGGACGTCCATAAACAATTTTTGCTGTTTTGACGTCGAAATTCGGATCAGCGAAAAAATGGTTTGCTATAGCACACGAAAATCATCGAAAGTGAGGGTATGTGCTCTTCAGTGCTCATTTGACCTTGAAAATGGGTCGTAATGGCTGTGAGGTCCAGCCGGATGTATATCCAAGGTCTTGACGGACACCCACAAAATTTTTTGGCATTTTTGACATCGGAATTCGGATCACCCAAAAAATAGTTTACCATAGCATGCAAAAATTGTTGAAATGGAGGGTGTGCACATTTTGGGGTTCGTTTGACCTTGAAAATGGGTCGGAATGGACATGAGGGCCAGTCGGCTGCATAGCCAAGGTCTTGACGGACGTCCACAAAAAATTTCAGCATTTGACGTTGAAATCTGGATAACCCAAAAAAAAATATTTGCTATAGCACACGAAAATCGTCGAAATAGGGGGTATGCGCGCTTCGGGGCTCGTCTGACCTTGAAAAAGGTCCAGACTGGCCGTCAGGGACAATCGGCTGCATAGCTAAGGTCTTGACAGACGTACATAAACAATTTTTGCATTTTTGACATCCAATTGCGGATCACCCAAATAATGGTTAGCTATAGCACACGAAAATCGTCGAAATGGGGGATATGCGCGCTTGGGGCTCGTTTGACCTTGAAATGGGTCGAATTGACCGTGAGGGCCATCCGGCCGCATAGTGAAGGTCTTAACGGACGTCCATAAACAATTTTGGCATTTTTGACGTCAGATTCTGAATCACCCAAAAAAAGATTTGTTATAACATACAAAAATCATCGAAAGTGAAAGTATGCGCGCTTCGGTGCTCATTTGACCTTGAAAATGGATCGGACTGGCCATGAGGTCCAGCTGGATGATAGCCAAGGTCTTGACGAATGCCCACAAAAACTTTTGACATTTTTTACGTCGGAATCCGAATAACCCAAAAATGATTTTCTATAGCACACGAAAATCGTCAAAATGGGGGGTATTCGCGCTTCGGGGCTCGTTTGACCTTGAAAATGGGATGAACTGGCCGTGAGGGCCAACCGGATGCATAGCCAAGGTCTTGACGGACGTCCACAAATTTTTTTGACATTTTGGACGTCGCAATCACCCAAAATATGGTTTGTTATAGCACACAAAAATCATGGAAATGGGGATATACGTGCTTCGGGGCTCGTTTGACCTTGAAAATGGGTCGGACTGGCCGTGAGGGCCAACCGGCTGCATAGACAAGGTCTTAACGGACGTCCGAAAAAAATTCGACATTTTTGACGCTAGAATTCGGATCACCCAAAAAATGGTTTGCTATAGCACATGAAAATCATCGAAATGGGGGTATGCGCTCTTCGGGGCGCGTTTTACCATGAAAATGGGTCGAAAGAAGATCTATGAATCCTAAATATACTTCAAGATGAATAAGAAATATTTCTCTTCTCTCTACTTTATACTTCTCATTGTTTATATATTTTCATAACAGCATCCAATTAATTCTGAATTATTTAAGAATATGACAAAACACCAATGAATGTGATTGATAAGCTTTTTAAAAAAATTAAACGATACACTCGATTTATATGCTATTTTATATGTTAGATTATTGAACCCAATTAAATTCAAACCAGTTAAGCACATGAAAAAAATGCATACCAATGAATTTATTTGATAATATAAGCGTTAAAACTAATTTAATGAGCACTCGATTCATCTGATTTTTATGTTCAGTCTATAATAAAAATATTGGAAAATATATATGCAGAGCCATAATGCATATGACTCGTATTTTTTTTTAAAATCAAATATTAACAAGATCTTAATATATTGTGGTTAAATTTTTAATATTATAAGAAAATAACAAAATTGTTGAAAATAATTTATCATATTTCTTTAAAATGATTAAATTCTTAGATAATGCGTAATTTATTTTTTGAAGGATCCTATATAGATGTACCTTAACAAATTTTTATATTATCGTATATTTCTGTGAAGTCCACAAAAATTAAATAGCAAGAAAATTAAAAAAAAGTTAAAATAATGAAAAATTTCACCCAGCTTGAATTTCAAGAACAAAAAATATCGTATAAATTGACGGATACAATATGTATTTATATAGGTATTTATAGATGCTTTCCATTTTTTTTTAATTTCATGAAATTAGTATCAAACTTATGTAATTGTTTGTCAAGAACATTGATGATCTTTTCGTAATATTTTCTTTTTGAAATTAGTATAAAAATTTATGCTTTTTTTTTTTTACAAATTTCGTAAGAAATCATATATAAAATATGAGTTTTAATAATTTACTTTTAACTTTTTAAAATTTATAAATTAATTACACTTACAAAAAGAAAAAATGTTATAGTAAAATAAAATAAAATTTTAATTAATTCTATTTTGTAAATTAACAAATAATTTTATCTAACTATTTTTAGTAATATAAATAATAATTTTAAGATGGAAAATAATATAAAAATGTTATAAATATAATGAATATTTTCTTTTGAATTTCATATTTTCAAAATTATATAAGTATGGAAGTAGAGAAATTTGGAATATTATTTGAAAAGAGAAGTTAAAAAAAAAAGAAGTAAAAAAAAATAAGAAAGAGAAAAAATCGTTTAAAGAAGAGAGAACAAAAAATTTGGGTCATTTTTCTGAAATGGAACCCAATACTTCCACATGACACAATATAAATGGAGTCATACAAGTATAGTCAGTCACCTCTTGAACAGTGTGAACTGAAAAGTAATAATTATAAGTTAGACTTTTTTGAAGTGATTTTACTTTTAAAGAGTGGTGGTTTTACTTTTGAATATAATTTGAATACAAGAAATAAATGAACTTACTCAATCGCCCTTAGCTTTCCAGAGAAATTACAAAAATATCTCAAATTATTTCCAATTTGTTGTTCATGTCATTTCATGTCAAAATAGTGTCTTGCCAAATATATTTTCTGTTACCTTTTTACCTTGGTAAATTATCTCCACATTTAGCTTAGCGGATTCATGAATCAACCTTTATACCTTGGTAAAGTATATTGTGCCCTTTTGATGGAGATTATAACATCAAACTTCATATAGTATCTCACATGGTTACATGTCAGTTTTAGTGCTCCCACACTTCAGTCTTTCATTTATTGCATAACCTAGTAATTAGTTATATCATTGCAATATTTGCTAGAATTTTGTGCTATTTACTTGACCAATGTCTCGATGTGACTTTATAACCAGCATGTCAATTATCATTATGCATATCCTACTTAGTCATTCAATGTACTAACTGCATACATTCTACCTATATTATTTGATAATATAGGCTCAAACATTCAATACTTGGGTTGTGGTTAGTACAAATTCAATTAACATAGTAACAACTTTTGATGAGTCTCCATTATTCGAGGATGACCTCTACCTTTACTTCAATATTGTTCTTTAAATTTTAAAAAGTTAAGAGTCAATTAGGGGTTTGTCTTAGGAACTCGTCTTAGTAGAGCCTTTTAGACAGTTAGTTTACATTTACAAAAATCTCTACTCTCTTCTATTCTCGAATATATTGAGCATAGGGATGTATCCGAGAATAGGAGAGTGTAGAGATCTTTGTAATTTTTTCAAAGCGAAAATTGTGCATTATAACACACTATTAATTCAAAATAAATGTTATAACTATATTTCATTTAATTTCAATTCGTAGCAAACTTCTTGTCATTCGTCTCTCTCCTCTCTCCAAAAGTTGGCTAGTCACTCTCTTTTTTTTTCCATGTCATCTCTCCCCGACCTCTCTCACTTTATACAAACACAAATGTATAGTTTGTGTTTGTATTTGTATAAGTGAGAAGACAGTATATACAAATACATATATATATCTCTCCGTCTTATACACTTATAATTATACAAATACATGTATCTTCATTCTATACACTTGTAGATATACAAATACAAATCTTCTTTTGCCAGTTCTGTTTTGTCTTTCTCTCTCTCGCT